CTTGAAGGCTGGCGGTAATAAAATGTTGGAAGTCATTTACGACTATGGCTTGGACTACGACTCTTCCCTTGCCGCTCCACTTTCTGAAGTTCCTCTGTGGCCTTACACCTTCGACTATCATCATCCCCATAAATGCATATCTGACACTTGTCCGACAAGATCCTTTCCCGGAATCTGGGAGTTCCCCTTGAATACATATTCGACAGATGATGAGACTGGAGGTACTTGCGTGTTCTTGGATCAATGTGTTTTTCCGGAGGATCCAGAAGTAGTATACGATTTTCTTGTGTATAATTTCTATCGACATTACGCAACCAACAGAGCTCCGTTCGTAATGAATTTCCACGTCAACTGGGTAACGGATGACACGAAAGTAGCCGCTCTTGATGTCTTTATCGACCATATTCTTGAAACCTACTCTGATGTCTGGTTTGTTACCATGCAGCAAGCTATGCAGTGGATGCGTTCACCCATGACATCCGATTTGGCAAAGAGTTTTGAAGGATGGAAGTGTCCAAGAACCAGATTGCCAGGCTGTAATATTCCTCGTACGTGCAGGGTTCAATTACAAGAGGGATCTCGTAAAGAGACTAGGTACTTGCAAGCATGTGGAAAGTGCCCTGAAATGTATCCATGGCTGCACAACATTAGAGGTACCAAAGAAGGAAAGCGTGTCAAAGACTTGGTACAGAAATCGACTGTTTAATTCTTGTATTGTTAATAATTCTTAATATATTGTTTGTTGAAGTTTTAATAAAACTATTTTTGCTGACCTATAGTTTTTCTCTTTAATCGCGGTTCTTGATGGTGAAAACAGAATGGTACTTGGAGTTGAAATATACATTCTGTCTAATAAAACTACTAGTTTTGGGATTGAAAGGAATTTACGGGGATAGACTGGGAAGCTTATGAGCACAGTCTGAAGTCTTTCGGAATGTTTTGAGACTTCTTTGTTAAATATATGTTAGAGCCTAGCATATTAACCGAGAGTTTATCTGAAGCTGTTGGAGATTTTTTCAAATGTCGAGTTTTGAGTAATAAAGGGACTGTTTACGTTAAGGTATTCGGGAATTTTGTTTTCTCGAGTAGCTTGTGTAACAGAAAAGAGTTTTTATATTTTAATTCGCGTACAAATAATTTAACGATATCGCAAATACACTCGAACTTTGTTAAATACTGTAGGATATAGAATGTATATATTTCTTTAAGGATCCTGTCTAAATGTCGTCTTGAGTTCCTTCAAATCTTGTTTAATGAGCTGAATATGCTGCAAGAAAGTATCTGTTGTTACAGTTTAAATCTTGTTGACTTTTATACCTTGAATATTTGATCTACTTTAATAAAAGTGGTGGAGAGCATACTAAAAAAAATTTAGAATTCTAAGACTTTTAACTGTTTATTCTTCCATAAGTTTTGCATTTTTGTGAATGATTTGATTTCAATAGTTCTACCTCGATTTAATTTTATTTTCGGGATGAAAGTTAAATCCCCTATGGTCAAAATTGCTAAATTTGAGGAATATTTGATTTATCATTGTGCTCGTATAAAATTCGGAACTTTGATAATCTACAAGACAATATCCGGTTTTTAAGTGTATACATGCACTTAAGTATGTCGAGCAAGGATACTTCATACATAAATTTTGGTAGGCTATTGTGTAACTTTTTCTATTACTTTTGCTTGTCCATTTTTATAATGCACCTTTTTATATAGGGCAGTAACTTCCGTGGGAGATAATTTTGAATAAGTTACCAGAGTGCCGATTGGTTGCATTGAAATATTAATTGTACTTTAAAATTTCAAACCAATAAAACTTGCACAATCACAATTTTTATTTGGCAACGTACCTGATCGTCCTGGACCACTAGTAGAATGTATAGTCTTCATTCTCAAATATGCAATTATGTGCATAAAGTAGAAGTTCTGTTTATAACTTTAGCATGTGTTTAATGTAAACTTATAATAGTTACGAATGATAAATAAAAAGTAAAACTTTTTAAAACAAGCTTTTATTTAAATGCTCTAAAAAGAATAGAATACATTTTTCTTTTAAAACTTTTTCTGCTATCAACTTGTAAAGTCTTTACACAATTTATGATATAAAAGCTTGTCGCGCGAGATTTAAGTACTCGTATTTACTTTGAAAATTTTAAAAATTAAAATCAATCAGATCAAGTTATTTAATTTGCTTGTTTATCTACACAGATACATCTCGCTCGCAACAAGCTTTTATATCATAAATTGTGTAACGACTTTGCAAGTTGATAGCAGAAAAAGTTTTAAAAGAAAAATTTTCTTTTTACAGCATTTAAATAAAAGCTTGTTTTAAAAGTTTTTTTTACTTTTAATTTATTTTTTACTCTTTAGTTATCGCTGGACAGAGGTTTCTCAGTCTGTTAATCTTATCAACGCATCATTGTTGCAAGGTCGTTTACCGGTTAATTTTGAACAGTCTAGCTAAGGGGTAATCAACCTTTTGTCCCGCCAAGCCACATAAATATGATTGATATTTCTCTCGGGCCGCAACAAGAGGATAATGGGATGGAGGTGATAAACACTGTTAGACCAAAATAACGTTGGACAATGCAAAATTAATTAAAATATTAACTCATTTTTTTTTGCTTATACTCTAATACTATATTAAAAACAAAAAAACAATTTTTTTTTAAAATCCGTAATTTTCAACCAATTTTTTCAATTCTTGTGCAGAATATGGAAAATACTATTCTACAAACGAAAAAATATTTTCATGCGATTATACAATCATAGACAAAAAAATTAACGCACCAAGATGGAGTCGTCAAAAGGAAACGAAATTTTACATATGTAACGACAACTTTGATATAAGTAAATGAATAGAAAATCAAAGAAAAAGGATCAATTATTTCAGAAAAAGGCAAAAGAACGGAGGATTTAATACTCTGCTGAACCCCCTCTAGCGCGAATGCACGATGTGATGAGATCGAGCATTGAGGCATACAAGCTCTGTATGATGTCTTGAGACATTTCATTTCATATTTGCTGTATCCTTGCCTCTAGTTCGTTCAAAATCGAGGGATGCCCAACTCTCCATCCCAAATTATCCCAGATATGCCCGATTGGGGACAAATATGGAAATCGGGCAGGCCAAGGAAGGGTAGTAACAGTGCGGATACAGTCTTGTGACATCCTTGCCATGTGAGGCCGAGCATTGTCGAAAAATGGCTCATTGGGAGCCGTTGCATGAATGGAAACACATGTGGTTGCAGGATGTCATGGACATATCGCTGGGCTGTCATGGTACCACGGATAAATGGTAGGGGTTACCGTGTATTGTAGGCAATGTCACCCCATACCATCACAGCAGCTGTGGTAGAGATGTGTCGCTGTAAAGCAAAGGCAGGATTGTGGCGTTCACCACGGGCTCTCCACACACTTGTCAACGCTGCTTCAGCTCAATCGGTTGAAGACATCAGCTTCAAAATTGAGTTGCAAGATTCCACCCGAACAATTTACACTGCTGGCCACCGTAAATGCAACACCAAGAAAGGCAAGAGATAGCACAACAAAATTTATTTTGTAGATAAAATGTTGACCAAGTATCAAATGATTAAATTTATAGTGGTTCCTGCCAGAATCAATAGCCAGAGATGCCGCCATTGTTGGAGATCACCGCTGCCACACGCCTCGGCATTGATTCAAAGAGACTGGATGTGTTCTTGGGGTACAGCAGACCAAGCAGCTTCCTCATGTTGTCAAAGTTGATCTGGTGTGGCAGCTGGGGGTGTAATCTGGGTCAATCGTTGAGCAACCATGGACCTCATGTTTTCTATCGGCGAAAGATCCGGCGAGCGAGCCGGCCAGGGAAGCAATTGAATCTGTTGATTGACGAAGAACTTTTTGACAATGCGTGCCACGTGGGGTCGATCACTATCCTGTTGAAATATGGTTGTGGCCAAGCCCTGAAGGTAAGGAAGGACAACTGGCTTCAACACCTAGGAGATGTAGCGCTGGATGTTTAAAGTACTAGAGAAGTGCGAGAGTGATATCCAATACCCCCCATACCATAATAACCGGTACAGGAGCAGTGTGGCGGTGCATAACGCAGCTGATCAGCATCATCTCTCCACGGTGTCTCCAGATTCGAATCCGACCATCGTGGTTTGCAGACAGATGCGTGACTCGTCAGTAATTGACCATTTTGCAGCCCACATTCTTCTTTCATCGCACCACTGGCGGCGGAGACGTCTGTGGTTCTGCGTCAAGGGTAGACCATGCAATGGACGTCTTGCGGACAGACCACTTTGCTGTAAACGGCGTTGAATGGTACGCGCAGACACTGAATGATGCGTTACAGACTCAATGTGCTGTGCTATGGTTCGTGATGTGACTGAGCGATTCGTCACTACCATGCGCACAATTTGCCTGTCCTCATGTGAAGAGTGGCGCACTGAGGTGAATGCGATCGACCACGTCGGTCCGTCATACCCTCCTGCATCCAACGATCACATATCCGCCTTACAGTTGTTTGGTTTCGTCCAACAGGACTACCGATTTCCCTGGAAGATAATTCACAATCTCGGTAGGCCCCTATCCTTCCTCTGTCGAACTCAGATACTTGATCAAAAGCTGATCGCTGTTTTCCACGAGACATAACTGATCGTTTTTTTGAAAAAAAACATAAGAAAAACACAATTGCCGAATTTGAAATCGTCGAAATCTCCAAGCCTTAAATAGCGCTTTGAGGTGGCGCCACAGGCGCGCGTGATGTGTGTCTGCGCTGAAATTCTAATCATTTGCATATCTCACCTCCGCTAATGCATGTTGTAAATTTCATGTTATTTTCAGGCTTCCTTCAGGGTGTTGCATTTACGGTGACCAGCAGTGTACATATAGCAAGTTAAAAAAAAACTTGTAAAATATAACATACTTTGTACGTATAAAGAGTAGAAGTATTGTAAAATATCTCGTTGAACAAATCAAACGAATTTCAAAATTATTTTACACGAAAAAATAATAATTGGAGGCGCGGGGTACTGATACCCGTACTTCTCTCATACTAAGCGAGCGCTCTACCATCTGAGCTACGCCCCCGGTCCACACCTTTCTTATTTTAAACATGCTCGCCTTAACACCTGAACAAGATCGTGGCAGTAATTGGTTACAGATATTGGAACATAAATCGTCAAAACATGCATTGTCATCCAAACTAAACGTGTATACAAAATTTCAGCTCAATCGGTTGAAGACATCAGCTTCAAAATTGAGTTGCAAGATTCCACCCGAACATTTTACAATGCAAGTTAAATAAAAGCTTGTAACATGAATTTCGGTTTGGACTTCTTCGCTTGTTCAAAGCACTTTGTGTTAATAGAGACTTGCATTTAACGTCTTTAAAAGTTCTTTTATGTTAATTCTCTATTTGAACGAAAATGAAAAGGTAAGACTATTCTTAAAATCTTCAATAATACTCAAGATATTTGTTAAAGTAGAAATAAAGTGTAAATGGTTGGAATATTTTAGTATTTAATCCTCTGCACAATATAATTCGAAATATAGGATACGGACGTAATCGGAGATTTTAAGACATATTAACATTTTCCGTTATTTTTCCATAAATTTCGATGAGAAATTTTAATATAAAACATAAGATATAAGAGACCATGAATACGCAAGTAACTAACAAAAATACTTTTCTGTACGTCACTTTAACTAACTTGGATTGAAAAATGTTTGAGGGGAAAACCCTCTTGAGAATGTTTTGAAAAATTCAATTTTATCATGGACTGGCCGTTACTCACTTCGCTGAGTGTTTCATGATGCATGAATATATATATATATACTCCTTATATATAAAATATTGTTATCCAAGTCGTTTGATTATACTGCTCTCGCAGTCTTTTTTCCCCATAGTAGATTTCCGGAAATCCCATTTTTTGCGTATCCCTTATTTAAAGAAATATGCTTGCCAAATTTCAAGTCTAAATCTAATTGACCCAAAATGGATTTTTTTTTGTTTTGCCAATAAATCCGATAGATCATTTTGAGAGTCGATTGCCGAAAAACTCTTTCTCAATGGATTTCAGTTCAACAAAAGCAACAAAGAACCATGTTCGTGAAAATTAACTTTTTATCAAAACTTTTCAGTAATTCTCCCCAATGGGAGTCTATTTCCGAAAAGTCTGTTTTTAGCGAATCTCTATTCTACTAATGAAATATGCTTACCAAATTTCATGTTCCGATAGACCCCTTTGAGAGTCGATTGCCGAAAGACTCTTTCTCAACGGATTTCAATTCAACAAAAGCAACAAAGAACCATGTTCGTGAAAAATACTTTTTATTAAAACGTTCCAGTATCTCTCCCAAGGGAGCCCTTTTTCCCGAAAGTCTGTTTTTAGCGAATCTCTATTTTACTAATGAAATATGCTTACCAAATTTCATGTTCCGATAGAACCCCTTTGAGATAGTTTGCCGAAAGACTCTTTCTAAAGCGTTTCAATTCAACAAAGCAATAAAGAACCATGTTCGCGTGAGAAATACTTTTATCAAAACGTTCCAGTAACTCTTGCCAATGGGAGTCGATTTCCGAAAAGTCTGTTTTTAGCGAATCTATTCTACTAATGAAATATGCTTACCAAATTTCATGTATGTGGGTCTGACAGATAAAAAAAAAGAATTTTTTTTTGACGTGAATACGTCTTTAAAATTGCTTCCATTGCAGAAGGCAATTAAAAAAAAACGAATGATAACGAAATCGGGGGTTACAGTTTGGTGTTGCAGCTACATAACTATCATCTATCTCTATCCAAAATTCAATTACACCACTGGATAGCTAAAGAATGAAACAATTTATTACGCTAAGTAAGGATTGTGACTCATCGCACGTGGTGGAGGGGGGAGTGCCACCATTTAGAGGAAATTTTGCTGCGTATCGAGATTTTCATTTAGTATAACTTTTGACTCGGAAAAGCTACGACGTTCTTTTTAGTTTCAACGATAGTCCCCAAAAATCTATCGATTTGGGATATAAAAACATTTGTTAAAGAAGTAACAATGAATATAAGGTGTTAAAATAAAAAAAATATTAACAAAATTATATAATGTCGGTCTATACGTGTCAAAAAGCCAAGTCCAAATGCAGAAATCGTATACGGTTGGAAAGGGCTTCTCAAGAGCAATACCGAATGGTACCACTAAAACTCCGGAAGGCCGAATCAAGCAGTGCCGGGAAAGCAAAAGAATGAATGCAACCGAGCGGATCAATGGCGGTGCCAGTACATCTGCTGCTGGGGCATTTGAAATTATGCAAGTGGTTGATGAAATCGTTTCTATATTGTCGCTGGACTGTGTAGGCATAGATTGTGTACGATCATCGTTTATAAAGACGCATTGGGCAGCAGCTAGTGCACATTTCGCTCCGCCGTTTGTCAACAATCCATTCGGACATACACAGTGCGGCAAATAAGTTTTAAGACTCCTCCCAGAGCACAGGGTGTAATGGCGCCATGAATGCAAATGTGCATGCGTCATAATGTTCATGGTCTTCTGACACACTGTGAAGAAGTGATGGTATTGAGAGAAAACGAACGTTCTTTGCAGAAGTGAATTTTTTTCATGTTGGTTTTTAAAGGGGGAGAAAAGAGCTGTAACCAAATTTTACGCAGAACATTGTAAAAGTGCTTCAGAAACATACCAGCTCATGAAACAAGTTTACGGTGACTGTTGTTTAAGTAGATCAAACGTTTTTATATGGCACAAACGTTTTTTGGATGGAAGAGATGCGGTAGAAGATGTGATCAGCGTAGTGGATGACCAATTTCCTCCAGAACACCTGAAATTATTGAGAAAGTACGAAATTTCGTGGCAAACGATCGCTGCGAGTCATTAAGAAGAGTTACAGACTTTAAACATCAACAAAGAAGGTGTTAGAACCATCCTGCATGAAGATTTGGGCAAAACAAAAGTGTGTGCTAAATTTGTTCCACACACTTTATCCCCTGAACAATATGCAATGAGAAATGCGCATTGCAAGAGACATCATTTCAGCCGCTGAAAACGATCCAATCTTCTTAAAGTCTATTGTTACAGGTGATGAAACCTGGTGTTTCCAATATGATTCTGAAACAAAACGACAAAACGTGGAACGGAAGTCATAAAATTCACCCTTTAAACCAAAAAACCCGAGGAAAATTCCATCAAAAATCTAAACAATGCTTATTACATTCTTCGATGCTAGGGATATTATCCACAATAATTTGTTTATACTGGACAAACAATTACAGGTTAGTACTTTAGTACAGGTTTTAAGCTGTTTGATGGCCAGAATTCGTCGCATTCCTCCAGAATATCGGACTGAAAGCAGTTGGAGTTTGCTTCACGACAATGCACCCAGTCATGCCTCCCTTGTTCATCGATTTTTGGCAAAAAAAAAAGGTCTGTGTGTTGAATCATCCACCGAATTCACCTGATTTAACCCCTCCGGGATTACTCCTTGTTCCCAAAACTTAAAATGAAATTTAAAGGGTGTTAATTTGAGGATACTTTGACCTTACAAGTAGCCTTAACGCATGCTTTGCAGGCCATTCCACAAAGTGATTTACAACAGGCGTTCGATTCCTTAATAAAGCCCTATAACAAATGCATTGAAGTCGGAGGGTCCTATTTTGAATAAAGGACCAAATCGGGAATTAATTTCTTGTTTCAATTTCTTTTTACGGACACAGTCTTAAAACTTATTTGCCGCACTGTGTAAGTGTGATGTGTGTGATCGTCTATGGTTTATGCGCTCATTGAAGCCAACAAAAGAAAAACACTTACCGACTTGTCGCTAAGTTTAATAGTTCCAAATTGGGAATATTTGTCTATAAAACCCCTCACAACCCCTTGGGGCTGATTTTCGTAGAACCAATTCTTAGTTGAATTACACTCCATAAAAGAAACATAAATAAGAAATTTCAAATCTGTAAGTTCCAAAACGGGAATTGTTTGCTAGAACGTCCCTGAAGCCCTCGCAATGCCCCTTGGGATTCGATTTCTGCGAAACCCATTTTGTAGCGGGTCTCTACTCTATGAAAAGAACGTACCTACCAAATTTAAATTCTGTAGGCCAAAAAGTTCGAAAAGGGGAATGTTTATTTATAACGTCATTTTACCCCTCTCAACCCCCCTTGGGTTTCGATTTTCACAAAATCATTTCTTAGCGGATCTTTACTCCACACAAGAAACACGTCTACCAAATTTCAAGTGTGTAAGTCTACTAGATCCGGAGATATCGTGATGAGCGAATAAATCGCTTTTCTCCTTTATATATAAAGACTAGCTGGTTTACCCTTTCTTCGCACGGGTGAATGAAACGATTAAACAATGTAGATTGAAGAATAAAGAAGTTTTTTAATGAGCTAATTTTACGTGAATTGCAAATGAAGCAAAAAGAAAAGAAAAGCATTTTGAATATTTCAGTTGAACAAAAAAACCCACATTTGTTAAATTTTAAGTCTGTAGATCTAATAGATGATAAAAAGGAGATTTTTTATATTAATATTTATAAAGCCTCGTAACTCTTTTGTGGGTCGAATTTTGAAAACACCTTCCTAAGCTGATCTCTGCTCAGCAAAATGAATACATTGTTACACATTTTGTGTAATGAACGCTTAAAATAGTGTAAATAATTTATATCTGTGTATGTCAGTGTATCTTAAACTGTGGGGCGCGCCTCCCTTGAGGGGTGCGACAACTTTACCAGGGGGGCGCGAGCATACTGAAAAGTCGAAAACAAAAGATTACTTAAGAAATTATTAAATCACTGAAAGTAAATAAACAAAATACATTCTGTGACATAATATATATATATATATATATAATACGAATTTACACTGATATATTATACTTATAAATGTATCAGTGCTACACAATGTTTTTCATAATTAATTTAACAATATTATATAAGAACAAGTTTAATAATTACCATTGAGCCCATGAGACTGTCAAATATAAAATCATATACAAAAATCAACACGTAATTTTTTTGTACGGCTTATAATAAAAAAATCCCTTAACTGCCGATTAAAAGTTACGCGATTCACTTCCCAATGTCA